CCCCCCTTAAATCTCTGACACCGTGTCACATTTAATGGGTGAGTCGTCCAAACGCAGGGATGACATGTTACCTGGACTAGACGCTTGCCTCGACAGTCACAAACTGGACATGCTGTCTTTTCTTCCCAATGGGATTTTCTTCCCCTTGCCTCTGGTAGCAAAGAAAACAGCATGGAAGTGAAGCTTTTAACGCTGCGGGGCTTGAAGGGAGATTACCTTACACACTTACATGGACCAATGAGCATTCACACATACACATATTCACACTCATTGCACTCACAAAGACATTTGCACCAAGAATCGAAAAGCTTACATTTATAGTGAAAATGGCATAAGCCTGAGTGGGCTTTTGCAATTTTGTACACAAAAGCATGCACCTTCCCCAGCACTTAAAACAGCTCTAGAGGGTTGTTGACCAAGTCTGAAAGCTGGAACCAGTGCAGCTAGGTGCAAAACGTTACAGCATTTTCTATTTCATATTACAGTTATTACCCAAAAGCAAAACAAAACATAGCCTTAATGATTGTTGGTGTTTAGTACCAGCAGTCCGTTCCTTATTAATTACAAATAAACATTTTTACCGCAAGAGCAGGCTTTGCTGTCGGCCTACACATGACATGGATTCACTACTCGACTAAGAGAAGACCTTTTAGTCAGTGTCACAGCTTTGTTGTTCGTGCAGTAAGCGGCTTTATCAGAGTTTCTAACATTAATGAGAGTAACGCCCTGTTAATGCTGGAGCACTTTGCTCAATTTTTAATATTGTGAGGCACAATCAACACCAAAAAATCAGTGCAGTCTAATAAATAATCCATCTTTAAAATCACTGATCTTTATTGGCTCATTTGAATTGTTAGAAATGAGCCGAGAGACATCGCTGTGGCAGCGGTGACAGGACACATAGAGATCTGGAAGCATTAATTGAATAAAGTTCGAGTTCAGACCAACTCACCCTGACCGCAGCATCCTCTTCCTTTCACCTGATGTTTCAGTAATACAGAAAAACTAGTAGTTATGTGTGAGACGCAAAGTCGGAAAGTTACTGGGCTTTGTTAACTGTTCATTTAGCACTCACATATAGTAGCAGTACTTCAAACACTTTGCTTCTGTGTGTGCTTCCAGGAGAGAGAGTTTTACATCGCCTTCTGGTAGATGATTGCATTCGCTTCTTCCTATCGTGTCTGCACTACTATAGATCACCCGCCAGTCAAACTAGGTCGAGGGCGGCACAGTGGGAATATGATGTTGGCGAAGTTTTTGTTCGTGTTGTTTTTGTTTTCAGCCGTGGCAGATAATGCTGTTCATATTAACTGCCAAGGGATTTTGTTTGTCTTTTGTGCTAAAGAAATTGGAAGTGTCAAACGTATCTGTTATGAGGTGCTGGGACAATTTTTCCCAGGGAACAGCTCCCAGTACATAACCGTGCAGCTTTTACTCTCATTCCAGAGCCTGCGCTAGTATCTCTGTTTTGACAGAGGCCTCAGCTCCAGTGTCAGTCTTTTGTCAGCGAGCTAAGCTTGAGGCTACGGTGAGAGTTTCTTATAGGAAAGCATCGCAGAACAGATCCCCTTACACTCCAGCGCTGGCATTCATGATTTTTTTTTAAATCATTTAAATGTTTTTACTGTAACTGATTATTATGTATTTTCAGAATAAAAATAAGTAAAGCATTTTATTTATATTTTTACCATATGATACCAGTGTTAGCTATATTGTAACACAGCTGATACATTTAGATCATAGAGAGATCTTTTTTGTCGACCCGGTATCTCGGTCTCTGGTGGGTTTTGTTTTTTTCCGCTCCCCCTGTCATACTCTCAGACAACCTTCCTCTTGTACACATCTGACACAGCTCGATTGAATTTCACCTCTTGTCACTCTGCTCGCATGGTTTTGCCTCGGAGCCACACACTGACACCCACGTAGACAAACACGCGGAGGAGCACAGGGTGTGTGGTGAGAAGTGACGGCAGAGCAGCGGGCCAGTCATGACAATGCCTTCATGCTAGCACCTGGCCACATGCACGCGTACGTGCGAGCGAGAGAGCCAGAAAGAGGGAGACAGACACCTAATGCCTACACCTCTCCAACACACACCCTGTCAAAAATACAGATGCACTCATGGATGGCTTTACACTCGCTTCCCCCCCCTCCCGGTAGAGAGAGTGAGCTCAGGTAGCTGTCAGGCGCTCCCCCACGGGGAACAGTGGGCCAGTCAAAAACAGCCTCCTCGCCTGTCACTCTGCGCGCTCACACATGCACACGTATAGACGCATTCACACAATGTACTTTGGTGTGGGGAGAGAGACAGAATGAGATGCCTTGGGCAGATGCTGGACCAGTTGTCTGTGCTGCACACATAGAGTTTGTGCTTGTGTGCGTTTGTGTGTCTGCCTATCTGACTCTGTCTCTCTAGTACCACAAAAAGCCACCTGCCAGTGAGCCCAAGCGGACATGCCGCCTTTCGTTTAGTCCTAGCCTGGGAGCCAGTGATAAGAAATAGTTATCTGCGGGTGCATGTGTGTGTGAGTGTGTGACATGTATATACTCAGCGGTGACACTGGCTGCTCGCCTATCTAACCAAGTAGACTTTTTTCAGAGTGGATTTTGGATTTTTATGTGCATTCGTCCATCGATTTCCAATCCGGTTGGTTACCTGTGAGAGTTTGCCATCTCTCTTAACGCCCCTCACCCCACCCCACCCCCCTCCTGGTGCTGAGGCAAGGACGTCACGCCAGCTGGATGCCCAACAGTCCTCTAAGTGGGCACAGAGCCACAGCAGCTGTAGCTGCCATAATACGGGTCAATTACTCTCTAAGTTGATGTTGTGTACACATAACACGACCACGTATCCACGTGCGTGTCTGCTGTTTGCTTTGCGAATCCAGCGGCCTCTTACAAAGTTTACAGTTTGCTGCTTCACATTTGATCAAAGCTGAGGTGTCAGTGGGAGGTTGAGGATCAAAGTATTACCATCGCTGCCTGACTTGCGAGACCTTGAAGTGTGTGGCTAACCTTGGTTTGTCTTCGTGTTGCCCCCACCCCGTGCGTGTTTTTCCTGGATGGCGGATCATTGATGTTTCAAAAAGACTGCAGTCTTCTCACAGAGGTGTTGAAAATCAGCTGTCCACAAGACTGCGGGTATCAGCCTGCTGCCTCTCGATTGATTTTAATGTTGTTGCTGACTTTATTGAGGGGGAAAATTCTAACATTGAAACTTCTTCAAAATCAGCAAATGTACATACTGCGCTCGCTCTGCACGGGTGGGCACAGTCTCCCCGAACGAATCGAGCATATGAGCATATGTTTGCTTTACGCCACGATCCCATTTAATCCTCGATGCTTTCGTGTTGCTGAACTGTGTTTCTACAAATATGCCAGTAGCTAATGCGTATTGAGACAAATTTGCCTGGTGTTAAAACATAAACTTCATCTGCATTAACTCATAAAAAGTTCTCGAAGAATCAGTGCGAGAAAAAACAATTTAATTGGACGTGAACAACATCAGGGCCAGTACTGACTAAAGTTCTGAGAGTTTTCTCAGAGAGCTGCTAACATAGCTGAGAAATTTCTGGCAATAATATCCAGCATAGGATTTATTTACATTAATGAGGATGTTTGGCTGACCTTGTTGCTTGGTAGTCTTTTGGTTTTTTTAATGGATGATGCATTATCTTAGTGATTACAGGCAGAACGAGTAGTGAAATCAACTGTTAAAAGCCTGGAATGTAATAAGCCAACTTTTAACACATGGCATGTTTACAACAGATCTACTGATGCAGTAGTCCATTTCCATGTGCATAGTTGTTATATTATTAGGTTACCTACATAGATATTTACCATGCTGGTATGTATAATCCTGTGATAATATTTTATATAAAACGATGGGAATCCCACACTGTTATGTAAGTCTGCAAGTTGTGGAAAATTAAATGAACTGCATCACAGTATAGCAGTGAGAAAGTGCTGTAACTGTTCACTCTGCTGATGAAAACCGGACAGACCCAAATCATCACCGCGCACTGTTGCTGTTATTTCTCTAGTTGCCCAGTATGTTAGTGTTTTGATGATCTTTTTTATTTCTGCTGTTATAACGTTATTGAAGTGGGTGGGAGATGTGAGCCCACCCGTAATTAGATCGACCACAAACATTATCCCTGCGCGGTCTAACCTGCAGCGTTTCATTAGCTCGCTGTCATTCAGCGTTTGGAGAATGTTTCCCCTACCTCTTTGTAGCGCGCCGTTGTGTGATGAGTGGTTTTATTTTGGCAAGTTTTTATACATTAAACACAATAGTCAACTATAACTGCGCTGGCAAATGTTGGACTGCATGAATAGTTCATAAAAGCCTTTTTAAATTTGTCTCCATTAGCTGCTGTTTAAAACCAAGAAAAATCGCTCTGCGTTGGCAGCTACCTGCAACCTTTCTTACGTTTCCTATACATGGTTTGATGTTGTGAATCAGTCAGCACAGATAGATATCAGTATGACGACTTTTGACCCTAACTTTGTTCAAATGGGCTCTAATTTAGCATTTTAGGAATCATTAGATCCAAAAAAGTGAAAATATTAATATAAAATCACCAGGATATGTAAACTGCAAATATTCTATTTTCCCAAACGTGTCAAAGTGTTGTTCTGGTACGCTTCAATGCCATTACACTTTGTCATGCTTTTTAAAAGGTCTTCCCCAAACTCTGAATGGTTTCACCTTCAGAGCTCTCTTTAAGCTTAAGATGGTTTGCAAATAATTGTTTCCTTTACCAGGATTTAGTTTGAACTTTGTGGGAAAGCATCATAGAATTTTCTTAAAATGCTAGAAACTTCTCTTTGTACTCTGATGCTTTTAAATACAGGCTTCTGTTAAAAGTGCTTAATTGAACTGTGCATTAGGTGTTGGGTGTTTCAGTATTAACTCGACTGAAAATGTATATTCACATTCGGAGTTATCCATATGACATATCCTAACAGCTTCTCCTCTTTGTCGTTCTCTCTGGCAGGCTGCAGAGGGATGCTGTGTGGCTTTGGCGCCGTTTGCGAGCGCAACCCAAATGACCCGTCCAAGGGTGAGTGTGTTTGCAAGAAGGTGGACTGCCCGTCCTTTGTGGCGCCTGTGTGCGGCTCAGATTCGTCCACCTACACCAATGAATGCGAGCTGGAGAAAGCCCAGTGCAACGCACAGCGACGCATCAAGGTGCTGAGCAAGGGAGCCTGCTGTAAGTAACCATCAATCTATCTGCTAACCCTTCCTGGAGACAGCTGCAGAAATTAACCATTTTAGAAATTCACCCCGATCCCTGTGTGAGTCTGAAAAGTGTTCTCTCTCAAACAAATGGAGATTGATCTGAGATAATTCCTTGTGCTTTTTCTGCAAAGTAACTCATTTTCAGAAATCCCTCTGACATTTGTGCAACGATCTGCTTTTTCTGTCTCATCTTGTCTGAAGATTTTAAGGCTGTGATTGTAAGCTTTAACTACCTGTAGAAACGGGGATGAAAAGAAGTCAGTTTGACCTTTGACATTTCAATTCTTGGTATGGTCATGCAACTTTGCAGAAGAAAATAGTTTGGGCAGGTTTGACTGTTGATCTGATGTATTTATGAGATCTCCACAAACCACTAAAAATTCGATAGCTTTCTCTGAAGTTTTGTCTTTAACATACACGTGATCTGTACCTTTTAAAAGATCCCCAAACATCCAAATTCTTGGACTGAACAATTTGAGACTGACACTCTCCAGTACATCACAATGAGAGATGAGGGTGAAAGTGGGCAAGCATAGGTGAATTAACATTTTAAAGCAATGGCGAATGCGATTGGAATTTTTGGTTCAAATGACAGAAACGGCACTTGTGATGTTCTGACGTTTGCACCAGAGGACGAGCACGGCCACTTAATTTGACAAACACAAAGCTGCAAGTCTCTGAGTGACACTAAATTGCTTGTTATTGTCAAGTAAATGGATTTCTATTACACCCTGTCCTAATACTACGTGCTTTGCCATCCTATCTTTATCCCACAATAATAAAACACGTCCCCATTACATCCATTCTATTGTCTTTCCAAAATGGCTGTGCTCCCAGGGCTTAAGCGCCACCTGCACCCTCACAAACAAAAAAGTGTGCCACTTACTGCTCCCATTGGTAGCCATCCAGTGTGTATTTTATCCCTAACCCCAGTGGGTGCCAATACTCCTGCTGTACCTCTCATTGCTTCTCTTTACCAAAGCCCATCAAAATCCATGGCTCTAAGGAGCAGATTCCTGCCAAAGCTGCAACATTGCAGCAGCCTCAATGATAACTATAGTGTTTTGTCAGCGTCGTGCCTTTTCTGCCAGTGTGGGCCTACTGCTAATTCCAGGGGTCTGATTACAGTGCAGGCTCGAACCTGGCACTAATAACAAGCTTGGTGGCGGCCCGCTACTGGCAGAGTGGAAATAAAGCGATAGAAAGGACAGAGAGAGGACAGGAGGAACACAGGGTACAGCGGAGGAAAGGGAAAATAGCATTTAAAAAGGGAGGGTATAATGTTAAGAGGAAAGAGCAACGAGACATTAAGACAGGGAGTGCGACACAAGAGCACGTAAGAGAGTACTTTAGTGATTGAACGAGTGAACAGATTACGAGAGAAGATCAAAACCAGAGGGAGAAAGTAGTAGCATAAGTGGTTTAATGATGGTTTATGGAGGGTTAAGGCCATCAGAAGCACCATAATTGGCCTTAGCAAAACAGCAGCCAGTCACAAGTAAAGAAATAAAGTAAAAAATAATAGTAATGATTATGCTAATGATAGTATTGCTGGTAATAACTACATGCTGGCCACCAGAGCAGACTTCCTCTCTTATCCCGTCACATCTGGAAGGAATTTTCTTTTCATTCCTCTGTTGGCTGTGATTCTGAGAGCCCAATGTGATTATTACTAATGGCAAAGCCTGATTTATGTCAGCATTTTCATGCAGTCACTGGATGTGAAGGAGGCAGGTGTGTAGTGTTTAATCAGCGGATGGCATCCTTAGCTCTAGCCTTGCTACGTTATGTACTTGTGCTTCTGTAACACAACCGGTGTCACTGTGATTTATGGTGTGATCAGTTTAATCAATGCAAAAGTAAAAATGACTCATTTAATTAACTCCGGCTTCCACCAACATCCATTCAACATGGTTTGATTTACAGTTCCATTATTGTATACTTAAAGCAGAGTTTACAGTTCTGTTGAAAATTGACAAATTTGCTATTTCCTGATGCGATTTTTTTCTGACAATCTTCTGATTGGTAGAAACGTTGAGAGCTGAGAGAACCAACCCTGGGAATCTATGTTTTAAACAAGCTGCCAGGTACTGATGAAGGTGACCTTAAAGCTTAAACAGCAGGTTATCGGTGCTTTTATTATCTTAAACTCACAATATTTGGTTTTGTCCCGAGTGACACATGAATAGCTTTGAAAATCAGAAAGCAATCTTTTAAATTCATCCTTCTTTCTTACCCGTGCTATTTCTGATTTGCAACATATTTTGTATAGCAGTGAAAGCAGTCACTGTCGAGTGAGTGTAGACGAACCACACAGCTAGCTAACATCTGGTCGGTTTATTTACTTTTGCATTTATTGCAACATCCTTGTTAAAAGCTCCCACATATGTCTTATAGACAGAATTGAGAAGGGCAGACGGCTAGAGAATTAAAAGAAGTGTTTTACTGTGGGATGGAAGGGTCAGCGAAGGAGTAAGCAACAGTCTAACATTCATCAATATTCATATGTGTGTGTTTGAATGAATTCAAGGATGTTTGCACTTAGAAGGTACATACAGCAGGTACGGTATACGCTGTGAGTGTGAAAGAGGAAGAGAGCGTGCGTGTTAGGAGGTCAGCGCAAGCCAGGTGACAGGTTCTGATTCTCACTCTGCTCTCAATAAATTCAGCCCCTACAGAGGGCTTGGACGGGCCACTTGGCTGAGATTATGGAGTTGTCAGTGCTGACGGAGGAAGAGAGAGGCAAAGGAGGGAAGGAGGAAGAGCGGTAGAAAGGTGAGGGAGTGAGAAAGCTTTTAACTTTAAGAAAATACGGGCAGCTGAATTGGTGCTTTTGTGCGAAGCCTCGTTTGACTCTTTCGATTTGAATGGCGGGTTTTCATCGGGGTAAGTGAATTGGCTACCGTTGTGTGAAGCCGTCATGTTCAATTCAAATCAAGTCTTATCTGGCACTCAGGAGGAAAGCCACAAAAGAAGTTTTTATTTCTCTCACAGATTATGCCCCTTATGTTTTTGTTTTTTTTTAAAGGATGGGAGTTACATCACATGGGAGCATTTTGTTACCACCAAGTACAACTTTGGAGCTTGGGGTATGTTTTGTTGCAAACAGGAGGAAGCTGTAACCAGCAAGTCCCTGACATCTGCAGGATGCTGACACCTCCAAATGTCGGCTTTCGGGCGCTTACTTCCTACTTCGCTGCTGCTGACATCACAGTGCTGTTCTCCAGTTAATTACTGACATATTGTGCTTCGACTTTCAAGAGGTTTTTACAGGCACTTTAGCTACGGTCACAGCTTTGAACACCAAATAAGGTGGCTTGTTTACAACCTAGACTTTGACAGATGCCCGTGTCCTCCCACTATTCCCATTGCACAGTTCACCTTAGCTCATTTTCACTTGGTAGTGAAAAGAAAATTCCCCTTAAAACATGTCCATTTAGCACCTCACTCATAAAACTGAACTGGCTATTATGACATTTTAGTTCCAAGAAAATGGTCTAAGTTCCCTCCTGAGGGCAGGACAAAATGACCCATTCGTTGTTGAGGTGCAGGCACTTAGTTTCCCTCCACTGCTCCACTCTGATATTCACATAACCTGCCCCTTAATGGTTCAGACCATCTCCGACCCAGCTTCTTCATTATCTTTCTTTTGTTCTAGATGGATGATTTGGGATCGGTGGGGTTACATTTCCGGCAGTCAAGCAGGCAGGCGGTGAGCACATAATGGCTTCAGATATTATCGAAATTAAAAGGAGAGGCCGCGTTTAAATTGGCCCCGCAGGAGTGACCGATAACAACACGAGGTGATAAAAAAAAAGAAGAAAGAAAAAAAAAAGTGGCCAGTTAAGAAAAGGAAGACCTCAGAGAGGGAGGGAGAGAGAAAAAGCTCAGACACTTTCTGGTTTAGAGAGAGACAAGAGACATTTGGGGAACTGTGTGTGCGTACGTTTGTGTGTTTGCGCACGTTCTACAGTCAGCTTGGGAACGTGCACCACGTCTACTGTCCTAATGTTGAATCAGAGCAGAGTGGTAAATACACTCCCTTTCCCAGAGAGAGACACAGAAGTGCTGCAGAACTCATCTTGTGTGGCCACTCTAGTGGAACATGGAGTTTTCATTCTTCTTTACTCCCCCCCCCCAGAAAAAAGTGGAGAGCATGCGCGTGTGGGTGAGGTGACTGGGGTTCGAGAGTGTGGTCGATGGGAGATTGATTTTATGTATGTGTGAGAGCGCACGTGTGTGTTCTCGAGAGTTGGCTATCAGCACGGCCCCCTACCTTCTGCTCAGTCACTCCACTCTGCTCTCTCGCTCTCTGCACTTTAGAGAAGGTTTTTATCTCTCCAGCACCGAAACACTCTCGAGTCTTCACAGTGAAAGGAGAAAAGGCATCAGTGCTCCACACCTGCTTCTCTGTCTGCTCTTATATACTGCAGGCAGGCCCAGTGTGAGAGGGATGTGAACTGCTCCTTAAACATAAAGCAGTACACTCCTACTTGTTGTATTTAGTTGTAGCATATAAAAAAAAATATATCAGAGCTGGTTCGAATACATTTTGCAGCAAACAAATGAAGTCCTCTGTTCCTGGGAAGAGGCACAAATGATTAACTGAAAATGAGTTGGTGTACACCCACCTGTACCTGACGTATTTGTACGTTACCAAACAAAAGCAGGCGCAGCAGATTTATATAACGAAACAAATGTCAAAGTGTCTGATGAGAGTTGTCATTATGCACGGGTTTACTTTGGCGCACTTTGTGTCTCGTGTCTAATGACGCTTTATTGTGTGGTTGCGAGCGTGCCTGCACGCAAACAGGCAAACATGCATGAAACGGACCAATCAGGAAGAAGAAAGGGAATATCTATTGAAAGAAGTGTTAATCTTTCCTATAAAACAGCATAATTTTTTTTTACAAACGGTACAGTACTGTGCAAAACTCTTGAGCCATCCATTATTTCTTTATATTTTTTACA